CTGCTAAGGCAGATAAGGGATAAGGCTGAAGGGGGGACCCCCACCCCAGGCTCTAACTTGGATCAACCCCTCTCTCGCCCCCTGGCCTCACGTGCCAAGCCCAGGTTGTTGCCCGAGTGTTTTTTGGCCGAGTCTTCTGCATGTGCAAAGTACCACGTGGTCTGGGTGAGTGAAGACCTACCTAATCTTCTAATTATTTGTTTTGCAGAGCTGGGGATGGAACCCAGGGCACGGCACATGTCAGGCGGATGCTCCGCCACTGAACCACACCCCAGCCCCGTAGACTATCTTGTAATAGCAATTTGGGGACATTCAAATGCCAGGCCAGCTGTTAGATTTTTGGCTGGGAGTGGCGTTCTGGCACAGATCCCCTGGTGGCCCGCGACATGCAGTGCCCAGACCAATGAACAGCCACTCTGCCTCCAGCATCCACTATGTGAGGAGCCGACCTGGATAGTGGTTCCTCCCAGGCTTTGAATCAGGGAGGTCACCCGCTCTGGATTCACCTGACCAGCTCTGGATTCGCCCATCCAAACCTGGAGCCACCAGGGCCCAGCCTCTGCTGCTTGAGAACATTCACTCAATCTCACTTGTGAGTCCTTGTTACACAGCAGACAGACACTTGCTGGGGTCCCAAGTATAACTAAACAGAGTCCCCATCCTCAGTAGTCTGCAGGCCAGAGGGAGTGAACCCACCACCCAACACAGAAGGAGCAGACCATTTGCATCTCCTGGTGCAACATGCAGATCCAGGGCCCATGTTCAGAAATTACTGAGAACTTCAAGTCCGCGATGTGGACCATTGAGCTGAGCTCAGGGTCCCCCTTGAAGCTGGCTCTGGGGAGGAGGCTGGAGGCCAAGGTGTGGGGAGAAGCTGTATCTACCAGGCAAGGGGAGAAGGGACAGTGGGTAAGGGGCTCAGGGAGGGGAGGGGAGGCAGTATAAAAACCTGTTATTGCAGGGAAAATACCAGAGCCTTGGAAGATGCTAGGTGGGAAAAGCCGGGACTAGCAGGTGGCTGTCCACATGCGTCTCCCCCCACCCTAGGTCCTCAGGTCGGACTTCACCACGTGACTCTGGGGCACACAGTTCAGGGGACCCACACCCACTTGGCCTGCTCGCCACAGGCTGTATGAGTCCGCGTGAGCGTCCACAACACCATAAACAAGTGGCTTAAAAACACACACTCAGGTTCTCTGGTGCTGGAGGCTGCCTGTCTGAGACCAGGAGCAGCCTGCTGGGTCCTTCCTGGCCTGTTCCCGTGGAGGAGAGAGATGGAGACGGAGTTCTCAGGTGTCCTTCCTCTCTGGGCACTAATCCCTCAGACTCCATCTCACCCTAGTCACCTCCGAGGACTCCCATCTCCCTCACACCAGGATCTAGGGCTTCCGTGTGTGGATTTGGGGCGGGCATCCCGGGGCTGCAGAGCTGGGGGGCTGAGAGGAGCTGCTCTCGCCAGGGCCAGGTGGGGACTACCTAGGCCATGGCCACGGGGACGGTCAGGCCTGGCCAAGCTGCCCTCGGGTTGGGGTGCCACCCTCTGCCTAGACTGAAGGAGGTGCCGTCCCAAGGAGGCTGCGCCATCTGGAAGCTGGGAGCCTGTTGATGCTCCAGTGGGGGAAGGAGAGGGTTCCCAGGAGACCCCTGACCTGCAGCGTCTGTAGGGATGTTTGTTCCAAGGCTCCCTGTCCCTGAGTCCCCAGCCCGGGGTCTTCTCCAGCAGCCAGGTCATCGGGTTCCACAGAGAAACCCCCCAACACGTTCCTGGCCTGTGGCATATAAACATGTCACCCAGTTCCACTCCCACGGACAGCAGTGGAGGCAGGGTACCTTCCCTGCCTCTGTCCTCGTCCCCACTTGTGGTCTGGACCCCCAGATGGGGGGAGAGGTGCTGTGTGGCGGAGGCCCCAGGCCAGTTGCTCAGGTCCCTGTTACCCATGTGCTGCCCAGGGCTGCAAGGTCTTTAAGACCCTGAAGGACAGTCGATGGGCTGGGGCCAGCTAAGCTCAGCTGAAGTGGCAGGCGTGTGTGTGTGTGTGGGGGGGTCTTCACAGAAAGCCCGCGCTGATGAACTCAGGGTGCTGTGAGTACAAGCTTCTGCATGCCACAGACTGACCTGGGATTCCTCCAGCCAGGTCTCACCGGAGGTGTTTTCTGGGTATTAGTGGTTAACACAGTCCCTGGTCGGGCCCTGCCTGGGGCACCGTGTCCTGCTGTCCTCATGCATACTCCTCTGGAGCCGATGTTCCGGAAATGCAGAGAGACCTTTGAAAAGGGAATTAAACCAACCCAGGCCTGCGCTAAGCAAATCCCAGTATTTCGGCATGAAGACGAAGAATCAAAATACACGGACCATGTGCATACCCTGGGATGTTTAGATGAAATAGTGTATATCTATTCACATGCCAGGAATATGTGTCTACTACTATCACTTGTTTTGAAAGCAAACAAATGCAATCAATCAAAGTTGCCAAAATCTGAAGTGCCTTAAATCGTGTAGCAATCAATGCTGATTGGGTCCTTACTTTGATTAGTGAACATAAATGTCAGATTTACAGAGATGTGCCCAGGGGGGACACTGGCTGAAACAGATAGGAGACCACTCCATCTGTGCTGGATCCCAAATCAGAATGGTGTTCCCTGGGCAGTGGGCCCTGCAGCTAGACAAGGCCAGGGTGGGCCACCAACCCACAGAATCCTACAGGTTACCTGTGTGTAGGCGGCTCTCAAATCTACGACGGCAGCCCTGACCTCAACCTCACTTCCCACGCACCCCCCAGTGGGGCACAGGCTGCAGCAAGGCCAGAGGGGCCGGCCATTTCACCAGCGCCTGAGGATGACCCCTTTCTGCCCCCTGTCATTCTACCCTGTGCGCTGCACTGAGTCTGGCCCTGGATGAGCCCTCTTCAGAGCAGTGTCCCAAGGACTAGAAAATCAGGTCCCTCTGCAGACCCACCTTCATGCCCAGAGATGGTGCCGGGGAAGGGACTGTGGGATTCTCCTGGGGTGGCCACAACAAAGTGCCACAAACGGGGTGGCTGGAGCAACAGGAGCGTGTGCTGTCACAGCACCAGAGGCCCAGTGAGGCCAGCTCCTTCAGGGGTCCTGGGGAGGAGCTACCCAGGCTCCGAGCCGCAGCTGAGCTGTGGACCTGAGCCTTGGAGGCAGAGAGGGGCGAGAGGAGCAGCTCCCACACACACGGCTGTAGCTGGCATGGTCAGGGAGCCGCTCCGCTTCGACTTTGCGAGATGGCCCACCCGCCCTGTGCTTCCCTGGTCCTTTCCACCTGCTGAGCCCCGGCTCCGCTCTGGGTACCCGAACCACGTGGGAACGCGGTGCCGCCTGATTCTAGACACGCAACAAAGCCACGGAAACACAAGGGACAGCCGCAGAGCACAGGAAGGAGATGCAGGGAGGAGGAGGAGGAGAAGGGCGGTGAAGGGAACAGAACTGTCCAGATTACACAGCTGTGACGTGCACGTATAAAGACGTGACAACCAATTCCACCACCCTGCAGGATCATCCCGCGCCAGCTAACAAGCCTTCAAACTACATTGGTGGTGATTTCGTCTTTCGGCATAAGGCCACAGTCATATTGGATCAGGGCCCATGCTGATCTGGTTTGGCTTCATCTTAAACTGAATTACACCTGCAAAGATCCTGTTTCCAAAGATCCCATTTCACCTGCTAAGGTTCCAGGTGGACAAGAACTTGGGGGATCCTGTTCAACCCACTGCAGGGGTAAAGGGCCTGATGACCCCACTTCCTGCTGCACTGCGCCACCCCAACGTCATCCCCGATTCAGCACGTTCCAGAACAACTCAGCCCCGTCCCTAGGTGGCTTCTGCCTGATGACCCTGCCCTGTGGGCAGCTCTCTGACCAGCCTGAAATGCGGGAATGACTTGTCCCAGCCAGCCCATGGCCCCTCTGGCGTCTCTACTTTCCGCCCTTCCTGAGGACCCCCCTCTTAACCCGGCTCCCAGCAGGGGCCTGGACCCCCTCGGGCTGAGGCTCGGGATGTGGGCAGCTTTGCCTCTGGTGCGTTCGCAGCCGCCCAGGACACATGCGTGGGAAACCTGGGTCTCCGGCTTGTGCGGTGGGGCGGGATTTGGGGGCCTCCTCATTCTAACCATAGAGGGGAGACCAGCAGCATGGCCTGCTAGGTCTGGAGGTACCTCGGTCCACTGGAGTCCACTGGAGTCCACTGGAGCTGCTATCGGAAATGCCATCGGTGGGGTGGCTCATGAACAGTGGAAGTTCATTTCCAGGTTCTGGATACCAAAGTCCAAGATCAAGCATCTCGTGGATCAGTGTCTGCTGGGAGTCTGGCTCACAGAGGGCGCCTTCCCGCGGCGGCAGGAGGGGCTGGGCACCGCCTTTTGGAGGCACTAATCCCTCCTGCCCTGACCACTGCCCAGGGCCCAGGGCCCGCCTCCTGGCTCCTCCCTCAGGTTAGTTCAGCACAGCAAGTTGGGGGTCTGTGGGCTCAGTCCAGAGCACTGTTCTGAAGGATGTCGGTGCCTGCCCTCTGCCAGTGGAGATTCTGCAGAGTCGGACCCTGTTGAATCCCAAAAGGGACCGAGGCCATCTTCCCACACATGGTCCAGGGCTTCTGCCGCCAATGCCCAGGGGGCCCTCCAGAAGTGTGCAGTGGGCGGCTCTGCCTGTGCCGCTCTGGAATCCAGAGCTAAGGACAGGCTCCGGGAGCAGCTCCAGGCAGTCCTCGTGCCCTCTGGGTCACTCCAGCCTGCAGGCACCCACTGCTCGTTTCCGTGGTCCCTCTGTCCCCACAGCACAGACGGGATGGGAGGACATGGGGGGCCTCGGGGGTGCACTGAGTGCCATCTGTCTGGGGCACTCAGAAGTCCCCAGGAAGCCTGGGGGGCTGACAAGGTGGGATGGCAGGAGACTCAGACCAGGCTGGGCCACCCGCCCGCCATGAGGCCCGGGCCAGTGCTTCCCCTCCACAGAGCCTCAGCCCCTCCGAGCGTTAGAGGGACACTTCTTGCCAGGTGGCGCCGACTGAAGGTGTGCAGGCGTCCCCTGTGTGAGCGTCCCGGGCAAGAGCCACGCTGACCTTGGTCATCGTCCTGTCCCCAGGATTGAAGTCGGGGCTGGTCTTCGGCAGTGCCCGGTGCCCTTTGAATACATGAAGGACGGCAGGTGACGTCGAAGTGGACAGTAGTGAGAGGAGGGGCAGGCCCTGGGGATGGAATGACAGGAGACGAAGACAGTTCAACAAACCTCCGGGCACGGGTTCCCCGGGGCCAGGCACAGGTCCCCCGGGGCCAGGCACGGTTCTAAGAAATTTCCACTTGTTGATTCCACAGACGCTCATAACTGCCTTGTGAACCCAGAGCCATCATTATGTCCATTTTACAGATGGGGAAACTGGAGCACAGAGGTCAGGAGACCCGTTCAAGGCCCCAGCAACTGGCAGGGCAGAAGCCAGAGGCCAGGAGCAGACCAAGCTTTGGACTCAGGCTCTGACCCCCCCCAGTCCTCTGCCTTCCCGCGTCCCAGTCGCCCACCTTCCTACCCCATGGAGAAGAGGTAGAGTGAGGTGGGGGGGCAGGAGAGGAGGGCTGGTCACACTGAGGGCCAGACATACCTGGCCAGCCCTGGAAGCAAGGTCCACGCTGCCAGCAGCAGCGTCCCCCAGGTACAGTGTGTGGCTGCCCCAGAAGCTTGTGACGAAATGAAGACAAATACCGAGGCTTCGGACCAGCCGTGTGCAGAGACCAGGGCTCCCCACAGAATCCTCGTGTCTACACCCGAAGAGAGGCTGGCACCATCTCAGGGGCTGCCCGGGACCCTGCAAAGTGGGGACGGGGACAGCAGGGGTCCCACAGGGAGCTGTGGGCTTCCACCTTCCCAAAGTCCCCTTGTTTAGACTCAGTGGGACCGAGCTCTGCCTCACCAAGGCAGAGACTGACTCGGGGACGACTGGATCGTCTTTGGAACCACTTTGAAACTCCACGCAGAAAACAGAGAACAAAACAGAATTCGCCAAGTTTCTTGTGCTTCTAGAATGAATGAATGGAAAGAGACCACGTGCAATCACCCCATTCAACAGCCATGTGAGGCCCCGTCTTGGAACCTTTGAATGTCACAGCCTGATGACCGTCTCATAGGAAAGGCAGAGTCAGAACCTACCACAGGGGAGCTACTCCCGGGTCCCTGATCCTCAGAAATGAAGGTAGCAAATGTTTATGATTTTAAGCTGCTGACTTTGGAGTATTTTACTAAGTGTCACAGATTACTAATAGAAAGCATGAAAAGAAGTCCCCAGGGCTGGTGGGTGAGGGGCTGGGAGAGGGGACAGCGGGAGTCACCTGGGGTGGTCATTTGGAGAGTGAGACCTTGCAGAGCACACGGGGCACACCCTCAGCCCAGGGTGCATCTGTTCACCTGGGGACTGTGACTCACCTGGTCAGGGAGGACCGCACAGCCACGGCCTCAAAACGTGACGCTCGTCAAAGAGACCCATGACAAAGGGCCACACGGCGCACGATGCCACCTCCATGAAATGTCCAGAAAGGGCAGGTCCTCAGAGACGGAGGGCAGATGGAGGGTGGCCAGGGCCTGGGGGGGGGGAGGAGAGACGGGTCAATGCTGGGGGGGGTTTCCCTCAGGGCAGCAGCATGTTTTGGGCTAGATGGGCACAGTAGCTCCACGGCAGTGAACGTGCCAATACTGGTCAAGTGTCCACTTTAAGTGGCTGATCAACCCTGCGTTACGCAGATGTCACCTCAACTCTACAGGCAACTACGGGGAGATGCCGCTTTCTACCATCAGACTAACAGGCGTGAACCTGTTGGCCCCAGGCCGGGCCAGCAGGGCTGTGGGGACAGGCCCTCCTGTGCACTGCTCTACGCCCCAGGAGCAAGTTGGCCCTCAGACGCCCACCCAAGGCTGGTGGCCTTTGACCCAGCAATTCCCAGCAGGTGTTGACCCGTGAGGAAGGGCCCAGACACTGGAACGCTTGCTGCAGCACTTTGTCCCCCGTACAGAGGCCACAAGCACTGGAGACCATAAGCCTCTGGGGAAGCAGCTGCGTAGATGGCGGCAATTCACCTGCGGAGTCTCCAAAGAACGAGCCTCTGGGTGGCCTTGCTAAGAGAAGAAGGGAGGTGGGACAGCGCATGAGCTTCGTTTGCTTGCTCATCTGCAAGAAGGACACACACACTGTCCCCGAGGCCTGCCGGGGAAGGACTTCTCCTGGGTGCCAGGGAGGGGCCTCGCCCGCTGGCATTCCTGTCCTTTGTGGTCCCCTCCCTCACTGCAGGAGGACTGGTCTGTGTGACCCTAAGGAGGCTGCACCCCTGGGGTTCCGTTAGGGGCTCAACTGTGTCCCCCAGGAATTCACCTTCATGGTGACTAGGGACCCTGTGTGGAGGTGGAGTGAAGCCAGACGGAAGGCCCCAGGGCTGTCTCCTGGTGTCCTTACAAAAAGAGGACATTAGGACAGACGGGTGCAGAGGGGACGCCGGGGGAGACGCCGGAGAGACGGCACCTGTGTGACGCGAGAGGCCTCGGGAGAGCGGAACCCTCCGGCTTCGGGTCTGTTCCTTGCCCTCCCTGGTCACCGTGCTCTGGGCCCCCCCCCCCAGGCTCCTCCCTGGGCCTCCGTGTGCACTGGCCGCTGGTGGAGGCTGCAGGGCCCCTGCTCCCTTCCGCCCAGGGCTCTGTCTCTCCAGGGGCTGCTCCTCCCCTGAGGGAGCCCCCAGCGGCCCCCATGAGTGACCCAGTCCCAAGCCCTGGTCACTGCACTTCACTGTGACCCTCCAGGCCACTGAGGGTGGCAGCTCCGGTCATGGCCCACCCCTGGGTGGCCTCCCTGCCGCAGCCTCTCGGCCCCTCGGTCTTCCATGCCAACCTGGGAGTGGAGCAGCTGGCCCCTGGGACCACCTGCAGGGGACGAGCCACTGCAGGGAGGGTCCTGCCTCCAGGAGGGTCCTGGGCACCGGCTGAGCAGACACTGGACAGACAGTGCTGTCGTCACCCAGACAGGAGACAGCAGCCAGCTCCACAGCCCTGGCGGCCCCGCAGCGAGGCGAGGAGCATCAGGCAGAGGACCCTCCCCGCCCACCCGGGACAGACACCCAGGAGGCCAACGCACTGTCCAAAGAGCAACTGACCAGCGTGAGCGCTGGCCTCCAGCGGCCTCCCCAGCAGTTTCAGCTGGGGTCACCTTTACAGCTGTCCCATCTCCCTGCCCACAACCTCCTCCTGCCCCATCTCCATGGGCTGAGCTGCCTCTGCCTTGCTCACGGGCGGCCTGGACTCCTCTGGGCGTCCACATGGTGACAGCCAGGTGGCCTGGGGAGGGGGGTGACTTTATCATCCAGCCTCGTTGTTGGCGGCTGCCCACTGTTGCCTTCGGAGGCAGCTGTGGGCAGAGCAGGGCCTGCGGCTGCGGTCACCACCCGTACCCCACAGTGGGCCCAGCACCTCCCGACAGGCCCCTGCCACAGCAGCCCCAGCACTTGCCCACTGTGGCCGGAAAGAGGACCCACACAGCGGAGAGACAGTCCCCTCTCCGAGCAGGAGCGGGGCTGGCCCTCTTTCTGGGTTTCCGCCTGACTCGAGAACATTGCTAGGTGACGAGATTTTTAAAGCTCGGAGGGAGACAGATGGTGCTCAGAGAGGTCGTCCTGATTTAGCTGTTCACTTACATACACAGCCTGGAACGCCTGCCCGCCATCCCTTCCGGTTGTCCACTTAACCAACCTCTTCCAGGAGCAGAGCTGGCCCCCTCCACGGCGGGAGTGCAGGTCCCCAAGAGAGGGCGGGCGGTCCCCAGGGCAGTCCCTCCGGGCCTGCTCCCTCCAGGTCAGCCGGGTGCTGAGCGCCTCCATGTGCAACCCCCGTCCAGGGGGCTGGGGGAAGAGGGGGGACTCTGGGATGTGAGAGGGGCGAACCAGGGCCTCGGGAATCTCTGCAGCTCCACAGCCACTGTCCCCTGGACCCGACCTGGAAGAGCCCACCGACCCCCAGGACAAAAAGGGGCTTCTCCCCCCACCCCACCGTGGGGCACGGTTGGGAATGGCCCCAGGGCCCCCTGGGTCTCTGCTGGGTCCAGACGGGGGCATCAGAGGCTGGGGGAGGACTCTGAGCACCCCATGGACCCCTGGGCTCCAGGGCCACCGGGTCGCAGCGTCCCCAACGCCAGGGCACGGTTTGGACATTCACCTGGGGCCGGCCCGGCTCTCGGCTCTGCAGACCTGAGCTCATTTGGAACTGTCGCCCCCACCCCCAGGAAGGGGCCCACTGCCCCCAAGGGCTCAGCCAAGGCCACAGGACTCACCGCCCTGAACCGAGGCCTTTCAAAGTCCACTTCCTCTCACTCTGACCGTGTCCCAAGTGGGACCACAGCTGTCCCCACCTAGCCACCACCATCTTGGATCCCTACTGCCCCCACCCGCCACGCTGTGCTCCCCACAGGAAGTCCAATGGGGGGTGCAGGGCTCTGCACAGCAGCCGGCAGGCTCCAGAGTCAGACCTGCTACCCCCGTGCCCTCCACTCCTCCCAAGCTCCCTCGTATACTCTGCTCCAGCCACACTTCTACCTCAGGGCCTTTGCACTGGCTGTTCCTCATCCTGAATGATTCTTTCCCAGAGGTGCACAAGGCTAACTCCCTCCTCAGCTTTACACCTGGGGCCAGATGGCCTCCTCCCCCCACGCCCCACACCTCCCACGCTCCTCCTCACCCCCCTTGGCCCAGCACGTACACCTTCCAGCGTTCTGTTGAATTGACTCGCCACCTTCTTGTTCATGGTGTCCTGTCACCGCAGCGTGACCTGCAGGACAGGAACCTGGGTGTTTAAGTCCATAGTCCAGCCTCGTTCTCGGAGAGCGTGTGGCACACAGGTCACAGCCAATCAGTGCCAGTCGGATGAACAGAGCCCTCCTGGGGCTGTCGTCCCCTCTTGCAGATGATGATCCTGAGACCCAGAGGGGTTCAGCACCCACCCAAGGCCACACAGCAAGGACAGAACAGGGATCTGATCAGCTTCCTTCCCGCACAACGGGCTGCTCTACACTCTGGTGAGGCAGATTGAGGCAAAAGTGGCCTCAGCCTTCTGCCCTGCCCTTCACTGGCTCCCTTTGTGACAGGACCACGCGGGGCCCAAGTGGATGGCAAGACGGAGGCAGGGAGAGACCCTGGCTCCACACGCGGGCAGCCTGGAGCTTGGGCAGAAGGTGCTCGGCTCTCGTCCGCCTGCAACCCTCTCTGCCGAGCCTCTCACCCCTCGGGGGCCGTGCAGGCGTCACAGCAGGCCCTGGGCCCCACGTTTCTTCTTCCCCAGATCCGACCAGGCAGGTCTGGTGGGGTAGGTGGGGCGAGTGTGGCCTGTCTTCCTTGGGGTGTCCCCGGACGCAGACGTGGCAGGGCATAGCTTATTCGGGAGTGACCCCCAAGAAGCAGAGACAAGCCAGTTGAGGAGGTGTTAGAGCCTGGGGCTCGGCCTGGCGGGGATCCCTAGGGAGGACCCCAGGCCTTGGTGTTGCAGTGTGGTGTCGGGGTGCTCTGGGTGTGGGCCAGCGGAGGAGACGGTCAGGGCGGGAGAGGACCCGGAGCCCAGCCTAGCTGACGCGGGGACCGTCGCGGATTCACTGTCTGTTCTTGAACAGCCCCGTCCACCCTCCAGCCCAGCCTTCGGCCTGCTCTGGACACAGCAGCCTCCCTCCCTTGGTCCTTGGTCCTTCTCACCCTCAAGATGCAACTCCCGATCCGCTCCTCTGTGGAGCTGGCCCTTCCTTCCAGGTGGCTGGTCACTCCTCCCTGTGCCCTGTGGTCCTCTGCAGAGGCCTCTGTCATGGGGACAAGGACCGTGCATTGGACACGGATTGTGTGCCAAGCACAAGGCCCCACGGTCCACTTCCACGACCCACTTCATAGCACACAGCACTGACAAGTGGGGGCAGGCGGAGGCTGCGTCCAGACGAGCGGAGGCTCAAGGCCAGAGGCCAGGAGGTGCGGGGGCAGGAGGGACGGGTCCTTGCCTCGCTGCAGCCAGGACGCAGCCCCACGGGCGGCCCACACCCGGGGCCCAGCGTCTTCCTGGGCGTCAGGCTTGGGAGGACACAGCCGTCGCCCGGCCTGGCCACGGCACAGGGCGCGGGGGGCGCGGGGTGGGCACCGTGGTGGGTGCGTGCAGCTGACAGATGCAGCCGCGGCCCGGCTGCCTCCCAGACACACGCTCCCACGGGCGCCGCAGCAAAAATAGCCATCTCATTTGAATGGAGCGCCAGGAGGAAGGTACAAGAACTCAACTTCAGACAAATGAAAATTTTCAAAAGAGGAAGGCAGCGGCCAAGCCCGGTGGAACCCAGCCCAGCAATTTAGCACGATTAACTGAAGCCGCAGCCCCAGTCGATAGAATAGCGGGTGCATTATCAGTTTTGCCACAAGCCATTATTCATTATCTCCGGGTTTCGCCGGCTCGCCCCGCGGCCGGCTGCAGCGCCTGCGTCTCCCCCAGTCAGCTGTATTTTAATCAGTTACATGACGGGAAAACGTCCCCGGAGAACGTGGGGGCATCACTCTGTGTGTCGGCTGCTCACAGATCGGAGTCGGAATGTTCCAGGGTGCGGTAATGTGGTGTGACACTGTGCAAGTTAATTTATAGAAAAATTAAACATCACGTGGAGCCGAGCAGGGGAGATGCGCTGCGACCGGCTTGGCTTCCGACCCGGTGGAGGTGGCCTCGGGTGCGGAATCTGGGGGAGTCTTTGCAGGGACTCACGGTGGTCTACAAATGTCTGTCCAGAATTCCCAGCTCGCTGCAGGGATCAACAAAGGAGACCGAGAGCAGAAAGGGCCCCAGATGGCAGGCTTCCATCTAGGCCGTGGGTCCCCGGAGGCGGTGGGGAGCTGGGAGGAGCGGCCACAGCGTCCGCACACATTTCCTGAGCTGCACCTGTGGCCAAGCAGGAGGCTAGAACCTCAGGGTTCTCCAACCTTGAGGGAAAGAAGGCCAGGGGTTCAAAGTCCAGGCCTGAGAGGACCCAGGGTGGGAGAAGGCCTGACCACTCCCCCGTGGGGAGGGGCCATGAGTAAGAGAAGGTAAACAGCTGGTACTGGACCAGCCAGGCGAGGTGGACAGGGGCCCCTCAGTAGCGGATTATCCCGGGGAGAAGCACGTCCCCCACCCACAGGGCCACTCGGGGCTGTCCTTGGGAGCTCAGTGCCTGCAGGGGCTGTGGGGGCCCGAGGCAGGTCTGTGAGGTGCCCCTGCTCCCTCAGGGGGACGTGCTGGGCCAGTGAGAGGCTCTGCTGGCTGGCGGGGGGCGGGGGGGACACCAGGCGGAGGATGGGTATGTGCAGCTGCTCAGGCTGGCGCGGAGCTGGGGGGCAGGCCGCGCGTGTGTTCTGGGCGGGGGGCACATCTGGTGGGCCCCGGGACTCAGTCAGGCCTCTGGGGTGGCGTGAGGCTCAGGGGTGTCAGGCGGTGGGTGGTGCTGCACCGTGATGTCAGACCCCAGGCTTCAGGAGGTGCCCGTGAGGCGGAGGGCCAGCAGGGAGTGCGTCCTTCCCAGAGCCGCGGGCACAGGTGTCGCAGAGCAGGTGGTACTGGGCTGGGTCCTGGAGACCGGGTGGCATTTCGGGACACGAGAAAGGAGAGACTGGGCTCCAACCTGGCAGAGCTCCTGAGGGAGAGCACAGAGGCAGGGGCGGCGCAGGCTGCAGGGAGCTGGGGAGGAGGGAGGAGCGGGGCCTGCGGCGGGAGGATGAGGGCAGGCCCATGGGCCACAGGTGGAACCGAGCTCTTCAGCTAGAGAGTAAGACGCACATACCCAGTTAGAGAGAATGAATAAATAAATAAGATTTAGAAGCAACAACAAGCGCCCGAGGGGCAGGGTGACCCACGTGTCCCTGCAGGACTATTTCAGAGAAGTTGGTCCCCAGCCACCGCCTGGGCCTGAATGACTCCCAAACCGCCACTCCAGGCCACAGTTCCCCCTGAGCTGCAGACGCACATGCCAGGGAGCTTGCCACCAGCACCGTCTCCTGAACACTGCGGGCAGCTGGGCGCAGCACTGAGGGCCGAGCAATGACAGACCAGAGGGGGCCTGTCCCCCGCGCTCCTCTCCCAGGGCACTGGGCAGGTTCATGTTCTGCTCTTCCTCTGCAGGTCAGCATCTCCTGCTGCTCTCAACCCCAACCTGGAGGGCCAGGGGTCTGCCTTGGAGCCCAGTGACCTGATCTCCCTTTCACTCCCAAGTGTTTCTTGTGATCCTCTCCTTCCTCATGACCACCGGCTGGTCAAACCTGCTCAGAGAGATGTGTGCACACCCACACCCAGGAGTTCTGGGGTCTCTCCCCTGGACGGTCACCTCAAGCCCCTTCTGCTCAGTCACTACTTTCCAGAACACAAATTGCCCCCTCACCCTGCAGCTCGAGCCCTTCCCAGGCTGCCCATAAGAACGGTCCCAGCTGCTGGGCGCAGCACCCAGAGGCTCTGGTGTCGCCTTGTCTGTCCCTTCCTGTCTTGTCCCCCAGCTTTTCCATGCACACGCCACCTAACTGCTTTGCTGCTTGCACATGGTCTCAGTCACTGTGGTGGATGGAAGCCCCACTATGTCACCTTCCCTGTGTCGGGGCCTCTTGTGTGATTTTGCGGTTCGTCCCCCCAAAGGCCAGCCCCGCTTCTCTGCACCTCGACTTTGCTGGGCTGTGTGACATGTTCTCGCCAGCGGAATGCAAATAGGCATGACCCAAAGGGAGGTACAAAGAGTGCCATGCACTCCAGCCTGCCCCTTGCACACCTGCCGTCACCAGGAGAGGAGCTTCCTGTGAGTACCTGCTGGGCATGCCCACAGAGCAGGAGTGGTGGCCGTTGTATTCGCCCACCAAGTTGTAGGACGTTTGTCACACAGCACGCTGTGCCAGCAACCGCAGAGGCAGACACTATTATTTTATTTTGTTCATTTCTTGCCTTTTCTTCAGCTTAGGATGTCTGTAGACACCCCTCTTGGCTTAACTATGTTCCAAGTGGTTCCTCCACCACTCCCTGGCAAGGCTGCCATCTCCTCTCTGATCCTACGCTTGGAGAAATGGCACCCGGGCAGGTGGGAGGCAGAGCAGGGGCTGGAGGTCCTCCAGGTGCCGGGCTGAGCGCATGCATCCTCGCCTTCTTCCAGCAAGAGGGAGGGGGGGAGGGAGAGCACCGCCCGTTCTTTGAGCTTCAGCCATGGGAGCCAGCCAGCCACCTGCTACTGCACCAACCTGAAATTCTGTGGGGTACACTTGCATTCACTTTCCCAGCTACTCTGTGTCAGCATCCGTCCCCAAGCAGAACCCCAAGCAGTTACTACGCGCGAGAAAGACAGAGTTACATGCTATTCCATGCTCTGGAATTTAAACAGCTGCTCACACGTCCTGGAAAACATTGTATTTAGTAACTAGCCAGGCGGTGTTTTAATTCCAGTCTCTTTGCTCTTTCCAGCCTGCATCACGCACCAGAGATTTCTGTGCAAACATGACTGCGTCTTCCACGCCTCCTTGACAGACTTGACAATCCCTTTGCCTTCCTCGCCGGGTGGTGAGGGAGGCCTCACTTTTCCCTGCTGCCTCAGGAGTCTACAAATAGAGGGAGACACAGCTGCACATGCATTCACACACATGCACGCACACCTACACACACGCACACACACACACACAGGAGAACTCTCAATGTTGCAAAATAGCACAGCTTTAAAGAGTTTCAGGCACATGCTCCCAGCCTCTTCAAGTCCCCTTGGCCCCAGGGACAGCAGCCAGCAGCTGCTGGGTTCCTGCTCCAGTTGTCTGCTTCCTGCCCACTTCAGGGACCCAGGGAGGGCAACAGACCTGGAGCTGGAGTCCACCTGTGCAGGGCAACCCCAGGGTGCTGCACTGGGCCTCTCCTCCCATTCACGTCCTTCCCAGGCCCATCCAAGCTAGAACACAGACTGCTTTCCAGGAGGGGGCGGCGGGGGGGGGGCATGATCAATTAAATGTCATTCACAAACATTTGCAGTGCACACTGTAGACAGACAGTGTTCCCTACGTCACCAATTATGGGCTTGACCTTGGGACTTGCTTTGATCCATGACCCCTCAGGAACATGAAGTGAGCAGTGGTTGGACTGTGCTTGTGTGGAGGGGCTTGCCCCTTGTCCACCTGCCTCTTGCTGGGAGCAGGACATGCCCTGAGTGACTCTAGGTCCATGGAGGACGGAAGTGCATGGAGCAGGCGTGGACCCCGGTTACGCCCTGCAGGTTACTCCAGACAAGCCCCGACGAGAGCAGCCAGACCCTCACCGACCTGACAAATGAGTGAGAAGCGATTGCTCATTGCTGTCTGCCGCGGAGCCTTGCGGTTGTTTGTTAAGCGTGATAGCTGGCTCGTGCGAAGGGGCAGGCTTCCTACCCTTGCACATTCTCCCAGCTGTTCTTTTGAAGGGGAAATTAGCAGTAATAGGCATTGCTGATCTTCTTCAAAGAAAAGCATGAACTTGGAATAGCTTTGTCAGGAATGGAGTTCTCATTACATGGATCTATACCTATTATCTTGCCCAGCCAAACAATGACCTGTTGTCGCTGATCAATAAGGTAGATGCTACCGTATTGAGCAAAGCTACAAGAAGAGCAAAGCTGGAGCAGAGCTGGCTGAAGCCAATTGGTCAATGCCAGGCTCGAGACTAGGGCCTTGGCCCCCTTGACACCAGGGGCTAGCCAGCTGCACTGACCAGCTGGCAACAGGAGCCATCCGGTACACTCGGGGATTGCCGAGGAGAGACTGCCCTCAGAAACCCGCCTCCCAGAGGTGCTGTCCAGCTGCCGCAGTGCTGAACCAAGGGTCGCTCTCGCAGGTGGAAAGAGAGCAGCCAGGACAGCCCTGACCTTCCCGACGTCCAGGCCTCTGGCCCACCCCCGCTGTCTACCTCCTCGCTGACTCCTCTCCGGATCGCAGCTCTTCTTTCCAATGGCTCTTCCCTCATCCCACCAGCGTCAGGGTCCTGATCAATTGCAAGAGGAAAAGAAGCCTGTCCATTCGGTGAGTTGAATCTCAAATCATCCAGATAATCAATATTCGACTGCTGTGCTACAGAGCGGAGCATCGACTTGCTGCCCATCGTCGCTAGGCAACCAGAAACTTCCACACCGTCCTTACCCCACGAAGCCATGGGTTGAGAGCAGGGAGCCCTGTGGAGCTGGTCCTGGAGGACTGGTGGCATGTGGAGTCAGGGATCACAGGGTGAAGTGGCACTTGCAGATCTCAAGACTCTGGTGGTCTTTACCCCTCACCCTGGCTCGAAGTAGCCACTTATTTAACAATCCTCTTCATTCTAGGAAATTTCAAAGAGTCCCACAGAGAGATGCTCTCATGACTATCTAGGTGCTCACGATGCAGCTCCAATGGTTATTAATCCTTGGTGAGTTCAGATTCAGTCTATCCTCTCTCCATCCCTAGATCAGATTGTATTTGAAGACATCTTCAGCCTCACCCATGGGTATTTCAGTATGCATCCCTGAA